TGGGGCTCGTCTGGGCTTTTCCTAGGGCCCTCAGACGGGCCCAAAGGGGCCCCAAGTCTTGGGACTTCTTGGGGTGGCGGTACTGCTCGGGCACGGCCTTCAGGAACTTCGGAACTCCAAACTCTGATCCGCCTTGGGCCGCTTCGTCTGTGCGGCAAGATCGTGTCAAGTTTGGGGATCCGCATTGCCCGTTGTGCGGAGTGAACCCAGGCCGTGGGGTTCGACGCCATCAGTGATCGAGCCTAGTCGCTGTCGGTCGACGCGAGCAACGCCCGCCCCACCACGAACACCGACCCCCCCCCCGGGCCCCGAGGGGCCCGACGGCTTGGGAGGGCCCCACGAGGGTCCGAAGATACCCCCAGGACAACTCCAGGAGGCAGCGCGAGCATCCGCCCTCCTGAAGCATCTTGGCAACCTCACGGGGCTATATTGGGCCCCTCGTGAAGCCCTCTTGGGCCCTTATTTGGCCCTCTCGGGGCCCTCTTGGGGCCGCATTTGGCCCTCTTCGAGCATCCTCCTGGGCCGTCTTGGGGCCTCTTTGGGCGCATTTGGCAGCAAAAAACATTTGCCGGCCAGCTTTCCTGGGCCGTCTTGGGGCCCCTCTTGGGACCTCTTGGGGCCCGTCTTGGGCCCGAAAGTGGCCCTCTTAGAGCCTCTGTGGGCATCTCGTGGGCCACTGCGGGAAGTGTTTTTGGGAAGCCCGCTCAAAAAAACACTTGCTGGCCAGCTTTCCTGTGCCGTCTTGGGGCCGTCCTGGAGCCCTTTGAAGCCGCCCTGGCCCTCTTGGGGCCGTCCTCGGGGCCTCTTGGAGCCGTCTTGAAGCTCTCTTGGGCCCTTCGTTATCGCGCATGTCGTGGACATGGGGCCCAGAACATGTACGCGACATGCGCTCTTGGGGGCCCTCTCGGGGCCCTCTTTGGGCCGCATTTGGCTCTCTTGGAGCATCCTCCTGGGCCGTCTTGGGGCCTCTTTGGGCGCATTTGGCAGCGAAAAACACTTGCTGGCCAGCTTTCCTGGGCCGTCTTGGGGCCCCTCTTGGGGCCTCTTGGGGCCCCTCTTGGGCCCGAATGTGGCCCTCTTGGAGCCTCTGTGGGCATCTCGTGGGCAACTGCGGGAAGTGTTTTTGGGAAGCCCGCTCAAAAAAACACTTGCTGGCCAGCTTTCCTGTGCCGTCTTGGGGCCGTCCTGGAGCCCTTTGAAGCCGCCCTGGCCCTCTTGGGGCCGTCCTCGGGGCCTCTTGGAGCCGTCTTGGGGCTCTCTTGGGCCCTTCTTCATCGCGCATGTCGTGCGCATATCGTGGCCATGGGGCCCAGAACGACGACGCCTTGACACGACATGCGCTCTTGGATCTTTCTTGAGGCCCTTTTGGGGCCCTCTTGGAGCGCTCCTGGGGCAGCTCCCCTGGCGCTCAAGGCTCAGCCCGCCTTGCCCGTCAGGGCCGCGCCGGGGCCGTCGGGGACCGCGCCGGGGGCCTCCGGGGGCGCTCCAGGGCGGCCCAGGGGCTCACGATCACAGACCTGGGTTTTGTGATCGTGGGGGCTGGCGGGCCTCCAGGCTGCCTCGCCGCCGGGGCCGGGGACGGGGCACCGGACCATGTGGGGAAACACAGCCGCGTTTCCCCACATGGTTCCGGCCCCCAAGCAAACGACCAAGAGAGCCCGGGGCCGGCACGGGGAAGCCAGGGCCGCCTCTGGGAGGCACCCAAAGGACCCCCGGGGGCAGCCCCAGGACGCCGGAACCATGTGGGGAAACACAGCCGCGTTTCCCCACATGGTTCCAGCACCCGGCGGCACGGCCAAGACGGCACGGGGCCGCCCAGGAAACGCCCGGGGCCGCCCCCGGAGCGCGCCCGGGACAGCTCGGCAGGGCCCGTCGGGGGCGGCTTCGCCGGAGGGCTGCCTTTTTCTCTATGCGTAGAGTTGGGGCCCCACGTGGAGTTTTCTTGGAGACTTCTTGGGGCTCGTTTAGGCGTTCCCTAGGGCCCTCAGATGGGCCCGAGAGGACCTTGGAGCCCTCTTGGCCCTTCTCGGTACCCCTCCTGTGACCGCTCGTGGACCCCTTACGACCTCGTCGTTTCGTTCACTCGAAGGGGGCCCCTCCAATGCCACCTCTAGGACGTCGCAGCGCAGGATATCGAGGGGGCGCCGCCGCGCCCTTTCGCCGAGGAGGCCTCGGAGCACTGGCGCTCGAAGATCCCCGGCCACCTCCTGGGCCAGTGGGCCGAGAACCTCCGCGAGACGTTGTTTGAGATCTGCGTTGATTCAGAGATTTTGTGCCAGAGCGGGTGTTCGGGTACCGACGCGTGGATCAAGTGGCTCCAGACGCTCGTGGACCACTGGCACACCAACTTCGGGGGCCCCGACGCCAAGGTCCGCGGCGTCTTGGCCGCGGAGTCTTCGCCCATCAAGCGCCAGTTTCTCATCGAGCACAACAGGCCGGACGTGCTGCTGGGGGACGTCAGGGATTTCGTTGCGCCGAGGGCGTTCGATCACGTGAGCGAGGACCACGTTCGGCTTCCTTATGGTAGCGTCACTGGCGCTGGCATCAGTTGCACGTCTCGTTCCAAGATGAATAGGAATCGGGCCACTAACGTAGGGTGCGTTCGCCGGAAGACGGACTCCACAGGAGCCCTCGCTGCTCTCAAGAGGGGGTGGAGGACGGCGGCCCTCTAGAACGACGCCCGGGGCTCGGGGGGCCGAAGCCGGGGTGGCCGCGGGGCCCGAGGGCCGGGCGAGGAGGCGCCCCCCGGGGGCCCGGGGCGCTGCCGGCCGGGGCCCAGAATTAAAGTCAAGACGATGCCGTCTTGACTTTAATTCCGGGGCGCCGCCGGCCCCCCGGGCGCCGCGCCGGGTGGCCGGGTGGCCAGGGGTGCGCTCGGGTGGCCCCGCGGTCCATGTTGTGTCCTTAAGCGTTCGCTTTCTGTGCGTTCGTTTTCTGTTGTGTCCTTCAGCGTTCGTTTTCTGTTGTGTCCTTAAGCGTCCGTTTTCTGTGGTGTCGCTAAGGGTTTGTTTTCTGTTGTGTCTTCTTTCGATAGTGCAAGCAGCATGTTGTTCCCTTAAGCGTTCTTTGCTGCTGTGTCCTTAGGCGTTATGTTTATGTTGTGTCTTTAAGTCTATAAGCGTTCGTTTGCTGTTGTGCCCTTAAGCGTTCGTTTCTTGTTGCGCCCTTAAGCGTTTGTTTTCTGTTGAGTCCTTAAGCGTTTGTTTTCAGTTGTGCCCTTAAGCGTTCGGCCTCAAGAGGGCCCTCTTGGGGCGCGCTTGGGGCCGTCATAGGCCCTCCCTCGGATGACGAGGGGCGACGATCGGCCCTCAGGAGAGACGTTCGATGCCATCATGAACTTGATCATTCAGTCGAGGTCGGGGATCAGCTTTCTGGAGTGCGTCGTGGAGCTGTATCAGGAGGAGGTCGGCGACGATGGGATGGCGGTGTCTGACGTTGACTACATCGTCGAGGAGTTCAAAGTGCGTGGATTTACGGCCATTGCCATTGCCCACAACGCCGCCTCGTGCGGCCTCCCAATGGAGCGCGCGAGGTTGTGGATCGTGGTGTACAGCATCCCAGAGGACCTCGCAGGCCCGCACGTGGCCAACTTCCACGCCATCCTGGATCCGTTGCGCGGGACCGACGTGTGGAAGATCGACCGCTTCTTGTTCTCGAAGGACGAGGTGGAGTCCACGAGCTGGGACATGCCCGGCGGCGCGGCCTGCAGCGAACCGAAGCGTGCCAAGTCAAGTGCCGAGTGGGGGGCGATCCATTCGGATGTCTTCCCGCGTTTGGATTTGACGTGGCCTCCTCCAGGGCCCCGTTTGCCCGGGTTCCGTCAGCGCGAGAGCGAGGTCATTTACGCTGCGGACAAGCTCTTTCCTGTGCCCGAGGATGCAGACGGCGTCTTCTACCAGTTCTTGGACTCCAACCACTCTTTCCAGAGACTCTTCAAGACTGACGGCTCCGTGGAGCCGAAGAACCCATGGCGTGAGAGGGTGCCGACTATGACAGCGCAGAGCCGCATCGCCATCCGCGTGAAGGACTCCTCGAACTCGGTGCACATTCGTCGTTTGCACGGGCTCGAGGCCATGGCGATCCAGGGCTGGGACTTGCCGATGTGGGGCGGCAAGAACCCCTTGGAGTCTGGTGGCGACCTCGCCATCACAGGTGAGACGTTGGCGGACATGGCCGGCAACATGTGGAGCATCGCCTCGTTCGTCCCCGTGGCCATTGCCGCCTTCGGTGCCATGCCGTACCGCACCCTCAAGGCCGAGGCTGTCCGCCGCGAGATGGTGGCGGAGACGACCGCAGTCATTTCCAGCGACGGTTCTGATTCGTCGGATTGATTCTGATTGATAGATCGGCCAGGGCGCCGTCTCAGGGGCTCGTGCACGTTGCCGTTCGCACGCGGGTCGGCGGGCCAGCGCCTGCCAGGGGACTCAGCGCTCCTCGCTTGATGGATAAACGTCATTCCCCCCTCGTCTGATGGATAAACGTCATTCCCCGCTCTGCAGCCCCCTTCGCCCGCCTCCCGCCCCATCCATCGGCTTGCGCCGCGTCCGCCGACGTCGGGGCCATCCCAGGGGGGCCTTGTACACTTGGGTGCTCTTGAGGCCATCGTGCCATCCTCGACTAGCTGCGCCGCCGTTTTCGAACCGATCGGAAATGGGAAATGGGGAACCGCGACTTGCTAATCGTAGCCTTCCAGGGGCCAAGGCGTCTCGATCGCGCTACGCGCTGGTATGCGCCGTCTTGACGCTAGACGCGTCACCTCGACGAGGTGGGCGACCCCGCCCGCTTCCGATGGGCGCGAAGATAATCGCCAGGCTCCTTTCGCGCGTCGCGGTCTGGCGGTGGGGGGGCCGCCGTTCTCCAGGAGGGGCGCGGGTGATAGGGGGGTGCGAGGATAGCCGCGCAGAAGGGGAGATCGCATCGACGCCAGGTTTGGGGCCCGAATCCACTGGCAATAGGAAGTGCGGCCGCCATTTTTCTGACGCGTCGGCGCGTCGGCTGCCATGGACGTGGACTGGTTGGTGCTGGGCGACCCGGGCGCGCCATCGGGGGAGGGCCACTGCGCGCCGGGCACCGTGACTAAGAGGAAGAAGTCCCGCGGCGCGGCCACTGATGCTGGGGGCCCTCCTCCGCCCGATCCGCACCCACAGCCGAGGAGGTCGAGGAACTACACGTACGCTGAGAAGACCTCGTCCATCACACGCGGTGTCAGGTGCGGCCCGTGCAAGCAGAATGACACCGACAGGGACCCATGCAATCCTGGTGTGACCAGGCTGTGGGGGAGTCACAAGTATAACAGCAGCAAGCAATGCCTCGTGACGGACGGGGAGACGTGCTACTATTGCATCAGGATCCACCAGTCGAGGTTCAGCCACATGTCACTGGGAAAATGGAAGAAGGCGTTGCCGGAATATGACAAGATGTACGATCTTTTCATCAGCTTCATGCACTGGATGATCGCGCACATCATCTCAGTCTTCGAGTCAACGGGGGATCGGGATGCGGTATACAAGATCCCGTTCCCGACGGAATGGGAGATCACCGAGCATGACATTTTCTCGGTCGAGTGGGTCGCGCCGCCGGAGGAGTTCGTAGAGCACAAGGACTACATATTGACCAGCCCTGAGCCTGCCGAGGACAAGATCACCTGGGGGCCTGGAGGTGTCAAGTTGGTGGCAGCGACGCCGCCGTTCACCCGTTGGAAGAAGGTCAAGAAGATGATCAAGCAGGCCGTGCGCAGCCGCGTTCACGTGGACGGCAGCGACGACATCCAGAACAGCTCCGAGCGCGACGTCTTTGCCAGCTTGCAGCAGTCGATCGCAGGCGCAGGCCTGCCGCCAGGCTCATCATCATCTGCCGCTGGCGCGGCAGTGACCCCCTCCAAGCTCCCGGGCGCGAAGGCGGGCGACGCGGCTGGCTCGAGGCCGTCGCCGTCCAGCGGCGACTCGAGGCCGCCGGGATCTGTCGGCGGCGGCTCGGGCGCACCCCGGGCGCCCCCCGCTGAGCCCAGGCGCGGCAGGGCAAGCGGGGCCAGCAGGGCTCCAGCCAAGTCAAGGGCCAAGGCCGCCCCCGAGGACGGAGAGCCCCGCAAGCGCGGACGGCCGAATCGGGACTCGCTGTCGCTACTTCGGTTGCAGATCAACGATTTCCAGTCTTGCAAGCAGAACACGGCTGCGGCGTCCAAGTTCGCGGGCTCCGAGTGGAGGAACGTCTCGCGCAACATGAGCAACTACATGCAAGACGTCTCGGCCGACTCCGCGGTTGAGGATGACATGGATATCCTCGCAAACATGAAACTCCTCTTGCGCAAAGCCACTGTCGTCAAGAAGGTGCTCGCCGAGGTGGCAACGAGCGGCCTGATGGCGAGGAAGACCTACACGATGTACAGGGACCAGATCGAGTGGCTCAACTCCGGCGAGGTGGAGTGCGATAACCCTTTTCCGCTGTTCTTCATCCATGCCATGCGGTCCTTGGAGTTCGACGCGGCCACGCCAGATGAGTTTTGGGCAAAGCTCTCCGGCTTGGGGGCGGAGGAGCAGGCGACTTCGAGGGTCGTGGAAGCGCATCTTAGCCCAACCGAAGAGGAGGGCATGCCGAGGAGATCTCATGGGGGCGTGTCTAGGTGAATTTTCCTAAGGGAAGGGGGTGGGGCTTCGGCTTGCCACGAGGGCTCATGATTGCGGACGCCGTGAGATCCCCTCGGCTGGCCCTCCATTTCGGCGCGCATAAGTTGCCCGCCCCCGCCAGGCGAAGTACGTGAAGGACTGCTTGATGAGCCTGGTCTCGAAGCCGTCCGTGAAGGAGGGGGTCCTCGCACTGAAGAGCTTCGTTGCTGCTGGGGAGGCCGTCCGCTCCAAACTGGCCGCGGCGCTGTTGCTCGATCTAGAGTACGTGGGCGCTGCGCAGGTTGCCGCGGAGTCGCCCGTGAAGTGGGCCACCGACATCGCGGCCAAGAAGGCTACATTAGATGCCGCGATGGAGGCAGAAAGGTCTGGTAAGTCAATGCCGCTCGCTGCCTTCAAGACTCACCAGACAGGCCGGGACATCCTCAGGTTGTGCAACGCTACTTTGGATGCCATGAAGAAGTTGGAGAAGGGCGAGATAGCCGCCAAAGAGGCCGTGTGCAAGTTCGAGGCGTCTCTCGACCCGACAGAGCTAACGGACTTGATTTCACGTGGGCTCGACGCCGATCATAGTCGCGCCGCCATTTCTGAGAGTTGCCTGAGCAACGTCTTCAAGCGGGCGTTCGTGAACTTCAAGCAGCTGATTGTGGACGAGTGGCCGCGCGACTCCGACGGCGCCCAGGGCCACGGGGACTTCTCCATCGTGGTCAGGCGCCTCGGCTCGGCTGGCCCCGTGCACAAGGTGCATGGGGGAAGCGCCGCGCCAGTCGCCTTCATTGCCATGTACGGGGAGATGCGCTTGATGGTGGACTCTCTCGTCAAGTATTCCACTGCCTGCGGCCAGCAGGCCCTCGAGGATATCCCCCCGGCAGAGGGGCAG